ATTTATCACACCAACTACGTGCGCAACGCGCGCGCCATGGGCGTCCTGTGGGCCCTCTTCACCCTCTGCTTCTCCATCCTCATGGTGGTGACCTTCATCCAGCCCTACTGGATCGGCGACAGCATCGACACGCCGCAGGCCGGCTACTTCGGCCTGTTCTCCTACTGCATCGGCAACGCGCTCACGGGCGAGCTCATCTGCAAGGGCAGCCCGCTCGACTTCGGAACCATCCCCTCCAGCGCCTTCAAGACCGCCATGTTCTTCGTGGGCATCTCCACCTTCCTCATCGTGGGCTCCATCCTCTGCTTCAGCCTCTTCTTCTTCTGCAACGCCGCCACCGTCTACAAGGTCTGCGCCTGGATGCAGCTGGCAGCAGGTGAGCGGGGCCGCGCCGAGTGTGCGCGGCGGTGCCGGGGGCTCCCTTGCGTCCCGGTACGGCAGGATCGCGTTCCTGGGCTGTTGGACACCTGAGACACCTGGTAACTTGGCTCCTACCTTTCTACAGCACCTCTCGCTTTAATAATTAATTATTATTTAATAATTAAAGCAAGAGACGGCTCTGGATGGGGGTCCGGCTGCTCCAACGTCTCCCTTTGCGAGCAGGGGACTTGCGAGCGCTCCGGGTGCTCCCGCTGGTCTCTGTGCTGGAGGTGACAGTGACATCTCCACTTGCAGCCACGGGGCTCATGATCGGCTGCCTCATCTACCCCGACGGCTGGGACTCGGCCGAGGTGAAGCGCTTGTGCGGCGACAAGACGGACAAGTACACGCTGGGCGCCTGCACCGTGCGCTGGGCCTACATCCTCTGCATCATCGGCATCCTCGACGCCCTCATCCTCTCCTTCCTCGCCTTCGTGCTGGGGAACCGCCAGGACAACCTCCTCCCTTCCGATTTCAAAGTGGAAAATAAAGGTGAACGGGGCAAGGGAAACAACTCACTGCTAAAAAACCTCATGTTTTTCATCCCAAATTTGCTGCCTTGCATGAGCTAAGGTAGCCATGCCAAATGCTGAAACATCTGCATGTGCATGCTGGGGTTTTTCCTCCTCCTGTTCACAAGGAGGTGTTTTCAGTTATTTTCTGTTATTCCTTCCTTTTTCCACCCTCTCCTCGGGGGAAGCCTGGAAACACTCCCTGCCCTCCCTCCTCCTTGCGCCCGCTCACGTGCGTCTCCCTTTTGCTTTGCAGAAGAAGGCAACGAGGGATAGCGCCGGCGCCCGCGGTAAGTGCCGGCCGCGCAATTCAACAATTCTCCCATTCATCCTCAAGATACGCTAATAGCAAAGGCACGTGTTGAGGATGACAGAGGGGACATTGGTTTTGGGGACACGGTGGCACTGACTTTGGCTGGAGGGGGCCCAAGCCAGGACGTTTCTGCCAAGGGACAGACACGGCCTGAATCCCGTGTCCTGCCCTGTCAATGTTGGGGTTCCTGCTCCTTCCACCTCGAGCTCTTCTTCTGGCAGCGCTGAGGAATGTTATCGCTTTCTCTCACATGCCTCTTGCAGGAGCATTGAGCTTATCGACGTCCATGGATTTTCCGCAGCTGCTTCGTTCCCGCAAGGGGCTGCTCCGCGATCCCAGCTCCCGGCTGGGAAGAGCCCAGCTGCCCCGGGGGCCAGCGGCAAGTAGGGCACATGGCTTCTCCATACACCGACTTTCCAGAAAACTACTTCTGAATAAAAAAGTGAAAAAAATTAAGTGTTCTCAATTTGAGGAATGAGCTGGGGAAAGCATTTTGGAGTGATAAATTCCAGCAGTCTTACCCTGACTTATACACGTTTCCCCCTCAGGAATGGGTCTGGGTGCAGGGAGGGATATAGAAATACATTTAATTCCAGAGAAACCAAAGGTGCTGCCTATCAGACATGGAAAATTCAACCAAACGATCAGCTTCACAGAAGGAACATAGGAGGAATAGGGTTCAAGTATTAAATAATCTATTTATTGTACTGCTTTTACAAAGAAAAGACAAAGCACCCAAGTAGAAAGAATAAAAATGTATTTTCCTTCAGGTTTTAGACTGACACAGCAAGTACAAATCCTTCAGTGTGAGCACTTGACGGCAATTGGAAATTTAACAAAGCCCAAGTGAACGAGCACAAGGTACGAGACCGAATCCCAACTGTTGATCCTGCGGCTCCCAAGCTGGCTCCAGCCTTGGTCATCTTGGTAAAACAGCCCGTCCCGCTCCAAGGCGGGCGGCAGAGGGCACGGAAGGGCGGGCAGGAGCTCTCGGGATCCTCGGGAGCAGATCCCTGCTCCAACATCTCCTCCCTGGGACGGGCTGAGTTCACAGGTTGGCGGCGGGAGCCTCGCGGCGCTGCTGGCCCTGCCGAGGTGTCTGCACAGGATGGGGGCAGCTTTGCTGGAATCCAGCCCCGGTTGCAGCCACGACGCTGAGCTGGGATGACTCCAGGTGAAAGGGGAGCGGGGGAGTCAAAGCAGCCTTTAAAACTGTTCTGGTAACGTTTCCTTCCTTTAATTTTGGATTAGATGCATAGAGAACCTGACCTATCCCTAAAGGGCATCCAGCATGAAGCCAGATCAGGCACTGGGCTGGAGAAACCCTTTGCAAGGGGATTAGACAACACCGTGTTTATGAAGGAGCAATCCTCACGGACCAGGATTTCCAAGAGAAGCAGAGAAGTGACAGGGAATGGTCACGGCAGCTGCTCTGGCAACGCATCCGAGCGCCTGCGTGGCCTCCTGCAGCTTCCTGCAGTACTTCCATCCTCTGGGAACTACCACGAAGCCAGAGGCCCGTGTAGGTGAGGAAGTGCCTCTGAAGTCTTGATTGAGGAGGATGCACTGAATCGGTGATAAGGATGGACAAGCCTAGAAGAAACCATTGTAGACCTAGCAAAATGCCACAATGATTTAACTTTTAATTAAACCCATTTACTTATCACATCCAAATCCCCCTCTGAGAAGTTTATACAGTTAAGTCAAGCAATTTATTTAGGGTAGCTCTAGAAACAGCTTCTAATCCAGTATCTACATGGAAGCTCAACCAGTTTCCTCCCATCTACATCAGCTCCCCTGTGTTATCAGCCCAGAAAAATGAAAGGCAGCTCCGTTCTGGAAGTTATTTCTGAAGACCTCAGGCAAGTTAACGCCAAAAGAAACCTTTAAGTTGGGCTTTCAAATGTGTTTCAAAGTTGAGGGCTATGAAATAGCTGTGACAGCGACGCTGCCACCCTCCCTCTGGGAACACGTAAATGCCAAAAAGTAAGAGCCAGAGCACAGGGCCTCGGTGACAGCACGAATGCTGCAACCACCTGGAGCAAGGCAAAAAGAGGGCCGGTAAGGGATAAAAACCAAGAAACAGCTCACTAAAACATTGACAGAGTCACCTGCAACAAGACTACCCCTCTGCAGCCAAAGGGTGCACCCATCTGTGGGCCGGAGATTGTGCGTTTCCCGTTTTTTGCTCATTTTTGTCGTTGTCTTTTAGTTGCAGGCCCCGGTGTTGGAAAACATACCGTAAACATTGCTGAATTTGGAAACTATTCTGACTATCTGGGCACAGGGAGCAGGGGAAAAGGTAAAGGGGTGGGGGCGCGTTAGGGCAAGAAATCAATGATGCTAAAACCTAGATTTAAATAGTTTGTCTCAAGAGATTTAGGCAGCTAAAACTAAAGAAAAAATATGTGACTGAAAAGCAAAGAATAGAGCAGACGTGGAAAATGGAAGATTTCAAGGTCTTTGCTCTACATGGAATTAACAGCACCTCGGTGCCCTCTGTTACTTCTCACCCCATTGCCAGCTACTGGATAAACAGCGGGAAAGTGACTCCTGAGGCAGTGAACTAAGGATGAGTTTGGATCTTCTTGTCCCGCCATGAACAAAAAACAGCTGGAATTTAGTCATCTAAGCACAGATGAGCTCACAGCTCCCGCACATGCTGCGTAACAGTGAGGAGACTCAGGAAAAAACAAAAGAAAAACTTCATATTCCAGTCAATTAGTCTTTGGCAAAGCCCTATCAAGGCAGAACACGGATGATGCCCACTGGCTGAGGAGAGTCCCCATTGAGTGACACAAGCAAACTCAGCGGAACGTGTTAGGTTTATCTAAAATCTTGGAAGCCTTGGAAGGAAGAACTTCACACGGAAAATGAACAAGGAAGAAAAAAACTGGACTGGGGAAAGGGCAGCTGGATGTGTGTATGCTATGCTGTAAACCAGAGTGTAGTGCTGGGCGTTGGGTTGGAGCCTCTAGGAGCTCAGCCAGGGGTGCCGGAGGCACTCGGCCGCGGTCGCTCGTTTCTCCGGGATCAGCTCCAGCATGGGCAGTAAGAAGTCTGTGAAAGCAGCTGCCTCGTCTTGGGACCACTCGTATTTTTCCACCAGAACTTCAAAAAGGCCCCAGGGCTTCAGCTTGGTGATGTGCTTCAGGTCACCTAAAAACCAAAGCAGAGCGTTATGTGCAAATGAGAGCAGCAGAGCGGCTGACCAAAGCCTACGACAGTTTGAGTACAGAAACCCAGTGTTTTAGCACAGGTAAAGGCAAAGGTGTAAGGAAGCTGAAGGAAGAAGTGATCCAATACCAGCATATATTGTTTAACTCGTTAATTACCCATTATACAGGCTGACAAGGACAAGCAAATGCTGCTCTGTAGACTTGGAAATACGTGCAGAATTGAGGAAGGGATATTATGAAAAAAAGAGGTTGGATATTTTGAGTAGGTGAAGATCGTTTTTGACTCTTAATACATTTCTGGTGTACAAAGGCCTTTAAGAGCAGCAGTATGGTAAAATGTGTTTGGTTTCCTGCTTAGGGCAGGAGGTCTCTGTGCTGAAAAGCAAACTCTGGATTTACCAGCCTGAATGGAAACCGCTGTCTGCTACGTCCAGGGCCTCTGCCCTCGGCCCAGGCTCAGGACTGCACAGCGGTTATCTTTACCACCTGAAGCAGCAGGGCTCGAGATGCAAGGTACTGTTTAAGCGATTGTCACACTAGAAATAGAACAAAGTTGTCTAGAAAAGATCTCAAAGGAAAGTAAATGGCTCCAGTTGACAAAGCTCCGCTATCCGAAGCCGCCTCGCGTCCGAGGAGCTACATGCAGAACCGTTCTTCAACCTGTCACATTTGATCTACGCCGAGACGTCAAACGTGGCAATGCAGGGTATTTTTAGCAGACAAATATACCTTATATTTAGCTGCAGCTTTGCTGATAGAGCCTTTCATAAAACAGTGGGAAGATTTAAAGATATGTCTTTACTGACATCTATTTTTAATTGGAATTTGAGCAAGGCACTCTTGTGCATTGGGGTGGGAGAGAAGGTGACATTTGCTTTTTTCTCTTTTACCTTTTTTGGTGAAAAACTCCTTGGAATATTTTCCTGCCAAAATGAGCTTGCGAGGTATTTTCCCCAGAAGTTCTATGATCAAAGCAATGTGATCTGCAAATTTGCAAGAGAAAAAGACAGCATGAGAAATCTATACAAGATGTCCCTACTCCCCAGTTTCCCCTTCTGCAATGGAAGGGCAAAGGACACTTCATCTCCCTTGCAAACTGCTTTGAGATCTACAAGTGAGACGAGTTATGCACGGTGTAGTTGCATCCCAGTGTCTCCTAACAATCTCAGAGGTCTCACTATGAGCATTATAAACATGGCTAAGACACACTGGGAAAACAGAACCCGAAATCAGCTTACAGTAGGCAAGGAAGACAGTGACATGTGGTGGTGGCTGGGGAAGAGGGAGGGCCATTTGCAGGAGGTCAACAGTGTGAGGAGAGAGAGGACAGTGCTAAAAGGAATGGGAAATGCCAGAATAAAACACACGCATGGTGTGTTTTACTGCATGGTGTCTCCCTGCAGAGCCGCAATCTCAGTTTTCTCCAACACCACTAATTTGGGTGAACATCTTTTTGCAAGGAACCTTTGCACTGCACACTCGTCAGAGAAGGCTCATTCTAAAAAAGCCTCCATTGCCCCTCGTGTTCAAAATCTTAAAGACTTAAACGCACCTTCATCCCTTGAGTAATCTTCTCCAGAATGAGGTTCAAACAGATAGTCTCCTGTTGCTAGTTCAAAGGCCTAAATGAACAGAAAGTGGGTGTTACACCACGAGAATGCACCTGCACATTGCTGCTAGCCTGGAAAAACTCTAATACACCACTAGTATTTTAATATGTTAATTACTTTGCTCCAGTTAAAAACGTCAGACTCAGAACTGTGATAAATTCTGCATCAAAGTCAAACAGAGAGTTAATATTAAGTTTGCAATTGTACAAAACAAAGGCTCGTCACACACTTAGCTGTCTTCCTCCTCAATGACATTTTGCAAAACTTGTTATCGTGTCCCACCTCAACAGATTTTTATTTTTATATTATGGTTCTTCCCCTGCAAAGTTTCAAATGTTAAGACTTTTTCAACACAGTTAATCTTAGACCATTCATTCCCAGATGTGAAAACATGTTTTAAGAAAGAAGAAAAAAAAAAAATCACATTTTTCAATTTACCACTCCTAAAGGGTAAATATGTCATGGAATTTAAGATCTTTTATGCATTCATTTTCACTCAAAACATTACCTATGACTTTCTGTATTCTTAATTTCCTCTGAGGACTGCTGGAATCAAACTATGGGAGTCACCACTGCAAGTTTTTGACAAGTTTTGCAGAGACAACATGACCCCAGTGCATTCCTTTTTTTTAAACTACATTCATCAAAATCACAGCTTGTTTTCCGAGACAGCAAAAAGGAGTTCACTTGGTATTTTCCAAGTTTAAAATAGAAAAACAAGCTTTAATTTGTAGAGAATACAGAAAAGGGGACACCAAAGACATGTGGTATGACTAGATTGAGTTCTTTTTTTAAAATCAGCACACTGCTTCAGCCTCATCTCAGCATTACTCAGAGATTAAAAAGTGATTCCAAACAAGGCAGAGGATGTATGAGATTAAAATACAAAATTACACTGATGACATCTCTGAAACAATGGTGGATGAAGAGGAAAGACTCCTTACAAAAGAAGGACTTTCCTGTCTTCAAAATTGCCCATTTCTCTTGTTTTGAAGCATGACCTCAAAGTACAGCTATATTTGAAACAACTTTTCAAAGTCATTGGCATGTATGTGACAGAAGATAAAAGAAATGCTGACTTCAGTAGAGAAACAGGGTATTCAGCAAGTCTGGAAGGTGGCTGAACACGTGTTGGTGGCTTTGGGGTCTCCCCTCCTTCCCCCTGCTTTTTTGGGGACGCAGCTTTTAATGCTGTAGCCTGGAGCAATACCTAGAAGTCCTCCCTGGGTGGCACCACTCACCATACAGGCTGTGCTCCAGATGTCAGCAGGAGTGTTATATCCCGAGCCTATCAACACCTCCAGGGATCGGTACTGCCTTGTCTGGATGTCTTCAGTGAAGTGCTTGTGCTAAAAACAGAAAAAAAAATGGTTTATTAAATGGTTAGGGAGCTCATAAAAGGACAGGAATTGATCACCTGGAAGGCCAGAGTAAATCAAAGCTCGTTCCCATTACGTTTCATCTGAATTTGACATCTCAAATAATACTTGTAGAAATATAAGGAGATATTTGAAGGCTCTATACAAGACACTTCTTTAAGGAATAGGGCTCAGCAATTTAGAGGAAAGCAAGTAGTAACAGCAGGACAGAGAAGACTTTTAGCAGCTCTACTCTCTGCTGTGAGATCACGATAGGTCAGGTAGAGTGACCTGCTTTAAACAGCCAGGCAACATCATTGCAGCAGACAGCAGGTCGCCAGGGGCTGCAAGCCCTGCAGGGAATTTGGAGTTTGTTACAGGCTAAGATCTCAAGCATTTTGCCATAAAAAAAGAAGATTCTATCCTATTTGAAACATCAAACACTTAAAAGTAGTGCAGCACAAGTGCTGCAGAATAAACTATTTATGAGTCCCTTTCATGTGCTTATGAATCTATTGAAACAGCCTGACAGAAAACAGCAAATGTTTTCAGCTTGCTTCTCCAGGGGAGCTACAGACTGCACAGGAGCATCGTGTGCCCAGCGCAGGGCACATCACACCGGGCACGGGCAAAGGCCTCTAGGAAACAATCCAGGGCCCAAAGAGGCACCCAGACACAGGCTGAAATGCTAAGCTAAAAGCCCATTAATTACTTTCTCCTCCTGCTTTTTTTCTTTATTTTAACATAGTTGCAAATTATCCCTACTTTTACAAGCAGGTGTAAAATAGAGTCTATTTTACGGATTCTTTTCACTTGTGGCCTTACTGGGAATGAATTAGCGGGTTTAAGCATGCAATGTGAACTCAAACTTACCACCCAGCAGGCATTTCCTAGGTCAGCTATCTTCACTTTGAGCTTATCTGCATTCTTGGGCTCAAGGGGATTAAGAAGGAAATTCCCAGCAGTCGATTTTCCTAAAGGCAATATGCACAACAGCTGATTAAACCTACATGGGCAGTGTCACCATCTGTCATGCAAATCCTATAGCCCTCGCCCTGCTCAGGCAGGATATTGCTTACTGATCACAACTTTCTCTTGCCTGAAGCTAGCTCTAAAAATCAACATCCAGCTGTGCATTTGGAGCAAAAGAACCACCAACATTAAGACCCTACAAGATTGGTAAACACAGGGAAGATTTAGAATATTCTACATAAAATAGACAGAGAGGCCTTGTGTTGTACAGTGGGAAAACAGGCAAGTGCACAGCTTTTTTTAAAAAAATTGTCTATATTATTATTATTATTTTTAAAAAAGGGCACTCTCAACCCATAAGAAGTCTTCCCAAACCCTCAAAGAGTCCAAGCACATCCCACCACAGCCAGCATCCATGGCAGCCGCATGGACAACTACAAGATGTAAAGTTTATCCATGATGCTCCCCGGCAGCAGCATCACCAGGAAAACACCCCAGAGAACTTGAGAAAAGGAAGCATTAAGGGTCGTTAGTTCCTCCCTTCCTCACATACCCTTGAGCAGACCCTGACTCAAAAACACAGTAATGGACAGTTCTAAATTTTATCAGTCGATGCAAGTTCTTGAGGGTATTTATGAATTAATCACACTATGGCATGTTCTCCTAAACCTGCAAGACTTGCAATTTTTTTTTTATTTTTTACAAATAATATACGAACAGACCTGTTAAACAGCCTTCCTTACGCTGCAGAAGCTGCGTTCAGTTGGTTTGTGTTTCTAGGAAAGTGTTTATTCACCCCGAGCAGCTACCTTTGCTCCACGATAAGAGCAAAACTATCAGAACAGACTTAACTGTACTTACCCCTTATCCTAACCACCAGTGACAATTTGTGGATTTAAGGCTCTACATACAATGCAAATCACATAAGTAGTGTTTGATCTAAAGGGGGGAATGGCCCTATAATGAAAGGGAAACGCGTAAGTGTTTTTAAAGTGCTTATGCTGTTCTTAAACTAAGGAAACTAAAAATAGCAGAATGACTTTGAGTAGGACTGCCAGGTTAATTATTTGGGGGTAATTAACCCAGCAGTGGGGTGAAGGCTCGAAGAGGTGGTCCTAATCACTTCAGCCTGTAAAATTAAGGTTTCTACTAATATTCCAATCAAGTGCTACAATAAAACTCTCCTGGATCAAGCGGGAGAGTGGCCCCTTCTCCAAGGGCTCCTCTTGTACCTTTGTTCTCCGAGGGACAGTTATTCTCATTCTCATCCTCCGACGGGATCTCTGTGCGGATGCTTTCCTGCAAATTGCTGATCTCCTGCTCGTTGAATGACTGCTCTTCGCTCACCACGGGCTGACACACCATGGAATCCTCCGGAACCAAGGGCACGAACGAGTCCGACATTGTTTCCGGAGGCCTGGTCTCCGCATCCCCGTTCCGCTGACTGTAACTACAGCCGCGGAAGGTCCCCTCCTTCTGCGCCACGGGGCGATGGCCACAGTTATTGGCATTATGAAGGTCGTCCTCGAGTCGCAGAGACCCTTGATTGCCAGAGTCCGAGAAGTCCGTCAGTTGTATCACTCCGTTGCAGTTTATTTCTGGTATGCACTTTTCCACGCCGCTTTCCATGAGAACGGACTGCTCTGGGACAATGACTTCAGCTGGAAGAGGTGGGAAATGAAAAGGTATCTTAGGACAGCGGAATATCTTAATAAAATAATGGCTGAGGTTGTTTGGGGAGCCTTCAGAAATGGACTGTTCTCAATGAAACAGAATGCAATAGTTCATTAGTGTGTAAAAAAAAAACCCTCCAATCCCTTTAAATTGGTGTAATGTAGTCTGGAATAATAACAACAACCTGCAAAGAGGCTGTTAGGCTGTTGCAATACTACAGGTCCATACCTGTCTTTTTGCCGACACCTTCATCCTGCGGACTAACTTTTAAAAGCATTTCCAGGGGGCTCTGAGCTTCCTCCTCCTCATCAGGCTGCGTTTGCCCAGGGCTCGCTTCCTTCTCCATTTCCTCTATCTCTTGCATTCGTTTCTCCAACAACTCAGCTTGTCGTTTTTGCTTCTTTTTCAACTTCTTTTTCTTATTCTTTGACATTTTGTCAGCCTACGCAGAAGCAAGCAGAGGAATACTTCAAGCATTTGACTTTGTTTCATGTTTCTGGTTTTCTTTTATTTCAGGGCTGAGGAAGCAGCCTGGGATGAGCGCTCTGGAGATAGGGATCTTCTCCCAAGTACACATCAAACAGAGAATCTTTTGGAGTCATTGCCTGTTGCCATAGGAGGGCATCTCTGTCCTAACCTGAGGACTCTACAGAGCTCTCCAAATGAGGGATCTCGGACTCCACAGACAACACGAGACACTCTGAGACCACCAAAATCCCTGCCAGTGCTGGCGATGTATTTGAGATAGGGCTACTTACATCCCCAAGACAGTAGGGAACTTGCTAAGCACAGCCACAGGCAAACACAAGTCACCATTCCTTCTGATACAACTACAATGCTGCTTTCTCTTAATGCTGATTGCATTATGAAACAACGGGGAGATAATATTAATAGAGGTTTATCTACAGATGAAAGCTATCACACTTACTGGTTTTGGCTGTGGTGCAGTGCTCACTGAAAGGGAAAAGAAGAGAGCATGTTAGTATGTTTATAGAAAAATTGCAACTGTGCTCCTATTTAAAAATAAGCTTTTTCAATGCGCTCTGGTAACAAGATTTTAAAGATACCAACAAATGTTTATTTTGCAAGAATTAGAAAAGTGAAAATACTGTGCAATTAAAATCCCAGATAGTATTTGCCTGACTGATAGCAAAGACTTAAACTTCCTGTCAAGCAGCTCCATTTGCTGCATGCATTATGCACCTCACTAAGAAAATGCAAATGGAAATATTAAAATATCAAAGTTAAGGGAGCTTTCCTGACCTAGCCCAACTAAGCTGTATCATGATGGGCTCGACTAAACGTTGGCACTATAAGATTACGACAGACAGAGCCTTCCAGCACACACTAACAGTTCCTGAAACCTGCAGACTGGCACAGACAGAAATTTGGAGGAGGAACACAGGGAACAAGAACTAGGAGCAAATGAGAATTTGCTCTCTGCTCTTCAGGGATGTTAGCACAACAAGGAAGCTACTTACTGTTCTTCAAGCTTCACAGGCGTATGCAAATCAATAACAGGTAAATCATCTTGTTGAGACTTCCCCAAAACACATTTCCACCATCTCACGGTGAAAGGAGATAAACTTTTGCAGAAAGAGTGAGAAGGGCCTCACCACGTGTTCACTGAAGTACTATTTTGAGTGCAACCACATTTACGAAATGTGTTCCACAAAAGACTATTAGGCTTTTTAAATGACCACTCTACCACTTTATCTGCTTCTGGTCCCCCGCACTGAAAGCAGGTGTCAGCACAAATTTATCCTTTCTCCTTTTTTTCTTACACAAATCACTAGTTTCCCAAGTGTAATCAAGTTAGAATTTATGACTGGCTTCACAATTTGCAGCTGGCTTTTCCAAAGTTACTTGCAATACTATTCCAAGGCACTTTAGGTAAATGAGATATTTTCCCTCAGGAGATGAGTTAGGACTTTTTTTGAGAAATAGATTAATTTTCCAGAAGAAGAGAGAACAACAAAACAAAAAGCCAAGCACCTGCAGAGCCCGATGGTGGAGGAGCCCCAGATCTCTGCCACTCTGTTGCTTCCGCAGCCAACCTGCGAATATACTGGTCGTTAACGCACAGAAGGATGTTCTCAGGTTTAATATCTGTATGAATGATCCGACACTTGGTGTGCAAGTAATCGAGACCCTGAAGAACCTGCAGACAGAGAATGAAACCCACTGTTAAAAAAAAAAGGCAAAAGAACCACCAAATTGACCAAATTGAAAATAGAGAGAGGAAAAATCCAGAAGTTGAATTCAGTAGCTGCCCAGGATGACTAATGAGCTGGAAGGATTTTTATGGAATATTCTTACAAATCTTTGTGGTTACTACTGATTTACAGAAAATCCAGATTTGTACACAGATTTCAACTGGAGTTAAAATACTGTTTATCTTCATGATTTAGCTTACCGCTGTGAAAATCCAACCTCGATGCCCTGCCATGCTTTCCTTCTCTTTCCACCCTCTGATGTGAAAAGAGTTTTCTCCTTAAACAATACAGTTGGCAGAACAGGTTTCTCTTGCTTTTCCTATGATTAAGCACCATGTTTACTGTGACAGAAGTTGTAAGAACTTACACTTGTGAGGAATGAACATGGTAAGAGGAGGTTAGGGCAAAGCTGGCCTCCCACTGCACCATCATGGTTTAAGTGACAGAACAGTATCTAAAGCAGAAAGTTTTGCAGCAGAGAGAGGAAATTATTCCCCCCCAAACAATCCTTGTTGCCCGAGAGGCCAAACCACTGATTTAGCTCTCAGGAGACACTGAAGCAGGAACATACCTGCTTGATGATCTTTTTGACACAAGGCAGCGGAAGGCCCTGGTAGTTTGACTTGATGATCCATTTGAGGAGGTGATGCCCTAGAACCTCGAACACCATGCAGATATCTGGAACCGAGTTAAAGAAAAAGAGCAACGTCCTGATCCAACGAGCCCTGAATTCACAGGGATGGGCAACCTGCACCATTTACCTGTTTCTGCAATAACGAACCCTCTCCCTTCTACGCTTAGAGCACTTGCCTTCCTCAACAGCACCATCCTATCACGCAAGTATCAGGGTCGTTACGTAAAAACTTCCAATACGGAGGGACAGAGACCGCCCGGAAGGATGGTGCTGAAGCAGCAGTCTCCCACCGTGGGTGGAAGCAGCCACGCGATAGGATTTCCTGCTAGCAGAGAAGCAGCTTCACGCTGAGAACTCAACTTTGGACCAGCTTAGGCTCTCGCCCCAGGCAGAACAAACCCAGATCACTCTGTATCGTTAAATAACTCAATTTTTGGCTGGTTAAGTCACCCTCAGAAGAATGAAAGATTTTTTCCCCCTTGCCTCTTTACCAGCAAAGCGAAGTTTTAGCAAACCTGGACTTCAACTGTATTTAAATTAACTTCTTTTTTTGGCCTGTCAGGTTTGAGCAGCTATTCTGGAGACACATTCAGGATTCTACTTTCGCTTTAAAAGTCAAACTTGCAAAATTTTATGAGGTTATTTTCCTTCCATATTAGCAGCACATGCATGCCTGTCACAAGAGTGCAAGAAATACAATATCCAGTAAGAATTTACTCGGTGCTATGATCTAGGGAAAAGAGCTAACCTGAGAGCATTAGTACAGTTTTCTAAAAGCTTCACAAAGTTTCTAACCTGCAGCCTGATTCTCTCAAGCAGTCCAGTAAATCTCACCAAAGTGAAGCTCGAGGCCACACAACTTTCAAGTTTTAAGGGTGCATTAAGACTACCCATAAGAGACCCCTGTTAGAAAGGTGCTCACTGGACTACATGGTAAATATCCTTTAAACCTGTTAATGTTCATGTAGGAAGGCAAAACACTTTCCTAACTGGGAAATTTCCTTATTAGCAAGCTAGAGGCAGAATGCCTTTGTTATTTTTAACTACCGACTCTAATATTTTGTAATGCTTTACCAAAATAGTTTCATTACTAGGCTGCTTGAAAACTGGAGGGCAGGGATAGATGGATGCTCCTTGCAGCCCAGCTGTTCAGTGCGGACTCACAGGTCGGATGCAGCCACCAGCACCATCGCCACCACTTACCCCTGCACGTGGGGACTTGCAGGGTGAACAGCTTCAGAGCTGAACTCTGCAGGCAGCTTCTGGGCCCACAGACCTCGATGACTTTGCAACCCATTTCCTTGGGCAGAAAAAGGTGGTGTCACCCACCAGCCCCCTGGTGGGGTTGGTGACAGCCACCCAGGGGACTCCCACCTTCACACAGCTCTTTGCCTTTCTGCCACAAAAGGATATGAGAACCATTGACTCCTGAAATCTTGAAGTCATCTAATAACTGAACCACCCTCTCTTTATTCGGATCATTCGGATCACTGTTGCGCACCTGTGGGGAGAAAGAAGATTAACTTTGTGCTCCTTAGGGCAGTTAATTACTAGGTAAGAATATTTTTGGAAGGCACATCTGCTGCACGAGTAAGTACTAAGTTCCCTGCCCCAGTTCTTTGCAACTAGGGGTCCAAAAGACCGAGCAGAGTAGCTGACTAGCGTGAACTCCAAAAATGAATTAAATTGAAACCCTCTCTCAGGCACTCACCGATTTTAGCAGCTTGATTTCATCCAGGGCTGTCTCGGTGTAGTGCTCCGCGCTCTTCACCACTTTCATCGCCACAAATCTCTTCCCTCTAAGCACACACGGTAAATTAGTTGAAGACCATTAACACTCATTCAAAGACATTATTCTCCAGAATTAACCTAATTCTCTTGCATATGAAAGCTAGTTATTTAAGACTCAAGCATCGTGGAAAATTAAGGGTTAAGTCTCTTCCATACATTATTGTTATGAACTTTTGTAAAATAATAGGCCAGGAACTGTTGAACAGAAGGAAACTACCCTGTCCACAGAAACAGTTTGTCCTGTTGAGATCAACTCCCTTCCATACAGGCACGATATCAAAAGAAACTACTGTATTAGGATAGTTATCCTACTATAACCTATGGATTGGGTATATTTGTGCTTTTATCTGGGCATAAGCAGACTCTTTATGATTATGTTTGTGCAGAAATGGAACCAGAATGGGTGTTAGAAACACAAACTGAACACAGGGACTTACTGGATGTCCCAAGCTAGCCACACAGTGGAGAAGTGGCCCCAGCCGAGCTTGCGGATCACGTGGTAGCGCCCGTTGAAGAGGTCTCCGATCTTCACAAGGTGGTAGCCACCTAGGGAAGCAACGGTGGGAAGTTTGGATAGCAAGAGATCACACAAGTGCTGGAGAACAGGCGTGCAGAACAAGCATCGCAGCTCGAGGCACATGCGTTTGATGTGTTGAAATACTCAAGCAAATGGAGAAATGCAAATGTTTCTCTAATTGGATCTTGCTAGAACAAGCATATACTGTATGTTGGGAACGGCAGTCAAAAGCCCTGGAGTGGACTGAAGAAAATCTTTTAATATAACTAAACTAGAACGACCAACTTTTCCTCCTTTTAGAGCAGATTATCACTGCCATATCTAAGTTCACCAGGATAAAACCTTTGGAAATTGCAATCTGATGTTCAGGAACAGATTAAGACTCCTACTGCTAAATCTCACCACTGCTTTTGCACACCCTGTATCGCCATGAAGAACACTCCATCCTACACCCTGCAGAGCTGCCCTCTCTACTGCTCTCCTGACTGAAAAGCGCTTTGACATTTAACAGCACAGTTGAAAAGTGGACAGTCCTCCTCTCTAACCCTCATATTTCTTAGCTGGTAACCAGAAAGTCTCAGGAAAATATCATGATTGAAATATGAAGGTACAAGAAGTTAATGAATAAAAGGGACAGAAGGAACTAGAAGATAAAATAGAGCAAAAAGGTCTGTAATTGTTAAGACACAGTTTTTGACAGCATCTGGAACTACAACCTAGATTCCAGATACTTAATAGTCAACTGTGGCCAGCAAACCCCCATGAAGCACATGCTTTGCCAGGGAGATTTATCTCTCTCGACTGACTGGTTCACAAACAAGACATACATGAAATTTCTATCAATTATTTCATTAGCTCAAGGAGCAGAAGTCCCTTCTCTTCACTTAAAGGCTTTGGCCATAATAGTGACAGCCACATAGATCACTGATCCACACAATGGCATTTCTGCTTCCCGTTTGCTTTATGGCAAATAAGAATCCCACAGATAGTTGGGTTGCATGCTGGAATTTAAAGCCTTTGAAGGCAAGCACTGAAGTGTAAGGAGCATTACAATTGAAGTTCTCCATGCTATTTTTACTTTGCATTTTTAGACACATAAATAACCTGTTTGTTACATGGTTCTCCCTCTACCTTACTTTGTAAGTCTGCTGCACTTGCTATTTATTTAGATATTTGGCGAGGGGCAGAAAGTGGGAGCATGGCTTGAAGATTCATTTAATTCTTCAGTTAAAACTGTAGGATCAGCATGGTTTCTTTTCTTCTTTTTAAATATGTTAAATGCTTTGAAAAGAGCCTGACCCTTTTAGTACCAAATTAAATACTCTGATACTTCCATCTGTTCTGTATCTCGGTTTCTATCTGAGAAACAGAGGTAAGATGATACTTACAGACATACATAAATAAACCATTTAAAGCCTAGATACCATGATGATCATCTTAAACTGAATGATTTGAATACCAACTCACTTTTACTGGTTTCCAACACCTATAAATCTTCTAGCACAGAGGGAAAGCTAACAGTAAACATACGCAATAAAAGCAGAGCTTTCCAGCTCAGGCCCTGACTGATAACATTTTTCAAACAAACCAGCAATAGAAAGAAATCATGGAGCATAGTATTAGCGTCTGCAATTTCAAAAAACACTTAAAATAAGCAAAGAAATTGCATATTTTCACTCCCAGTAACAGACAGGGGATCAAGGAAATCTTGAACAGGCCAGTCCTCACCTTTACAGTAATCGTTGGGATCCTCCTGTTCATCATCATCTGATCCCAGAATTTCTTCCTCTTGTTCTGGAAGATCATTCTCTGAGTGAGCAGCAGGACCCCGATGCTGAGTGTCAGGCCTGAAAGAACACATGGAAAATCTCACTCGTATCAAGCTCCCGCAGACTACGTTTCACTTGGAGCGCCGGACCTGGAGGAGATGCAGGATTCAGTCTTCAGAAAAAAAGAACTTCCATGTTTCCATGCTTTTATTCCTAAGCTAGTGTCAAGGCAGATAAAAACAACTTCTCGGGTACTAGTGAGAAATACAACTTAATGCCCTAGGTGCATTTTTACAGTGGAATAAAAGAAAAGCCCAGACAGGGCAGTGAATCAAAAGCCTCCTCATCCCATCAAAACATCAGTCCCTTTGAAACCCTTCCCCACCTTTTACTCATCACTGAGGATTCTTCTGAAGCAAGTTTTAAGATGACACCTCATATAAAAGACTTAAATGCTACTGGATGTTATTTTAAAGACTTATATCAGTTAATGCTCACATCTTCAAAACTACTGAATTGGTATTTTGGAACTTGTGTCCTTTGTCCCTTGCACGTTGCAGAGATGAAAGGGACAATTCCCCGGCTCGGGATGCCTTGGAAGTCTCTGCAGCAGCCGACATTGCCCTTGATGTCCCTCGCTCTCCTGCAGCCCGTGGCCTTCCTAGCCCGTCTCTCCACCGAAGTCCCTGCTTTGGCAGGGTGCTACGCAGGAGCCGCGTCGAGCAGACGTGCTGCAAAGCCTCCCGCCAGCTCCTGACTGCAAGGGAGAGAAACCAGGCACCCAGGTGGTGCATTTTTCCCCCCTACAAACAAAACCCCTTCATTTTGTGGGTTTTAGAATAGCATGTTGTGTGAAAGGCTCAGGGCCTGCACATTGGCACAGGTCAAGCCATTGCTCTCATGCAATAACGTTATGCTCCATTTCCGTGGAAGATTTAATAGCAAAGGGCTGCAGGATACAGACATTAAGCTTTCTGTTCATAGCAATATGACATATATATGAAAAATGAAGTTGTCCAAAGAGGTAGACAACCAATAATTTATTTCTTTATACCACGACGTACAAGCACAAGATAACATTCTTCACGGAGAGCTTCCCTGGCAGTGTGAATTAGCGGAAGTTTCCTGCATGGAAACTATTGTTCCCCTAAAGTAGCAGATATAACTGATGTCTTCCAAAACTATGACAAATTTAACTTTCCTTTTCCGCAGAGAAAGGGTAAGTGCTGACACAACCACTGGTTGTCAGGGGATCAGCCAATTTAAATATGCACAGAGCATGAAAGGAGCAATCGCTCATTCCCATCTGTGAACAGCTTCATATTAAGCCATGATCATGATTAAAGCGAGGAGCAGCTACCAAGGTCGCCCCAGGCAGCACTGCATCACCCAGCGCTTCCTTCGGGTCTGTTGTCAAGTGATTTTAGGATTCAGATAAGCAACATAGATCAGTGGTCTCAAATGCCAAAACCCTGCCAGTCCATTACGCTGCTGTCAGGCTAACGGGACATTTATCAGCAACTGGAAAAAGAAGAAAGTCTCAGAGATTGGATCCAAAAGCTACTTCAAAACTGCAGCATTTCTTTAGAATTGCTGAGCTATGGGTAAACTCACAGACTGTTCCCAAATGAGAGCAGGCAGCAAGAGAGGGACATGGGGAGACCAGCTGAAGGAGACAGGACGCTACCAGATACCAAATTGCGCAGATAAGGGAGGGAGAACCAGGACAAATAATTACAGAGGGGGGAATTTAAGAGCACGCCACCACAGCACTCACGCTTATTAAGCCTTTTGCTTGTATATTATAGTCTATTATACCAATTAATCTAATCCATAACCACATTCAGCTTGCATATATTTTGGTGATATATTTCCTTTTAACAAAACACATCTCATTGCTTTGCCTTCCTGGGGAAATTCATTAGATGTCCCTTGATCCCAGCACCTTCTTCCCCCCAGACTGACTGTGCCAACTGCAGCCAGGGATTAAGGAAGGGCATTAATCAGTGCAGAATATGTATTAATACAAAAGAAAAAAAAAAAAAACACACAAAACCACAACCCTCATGTCTGCAGCCTTCTGCTAACAAGCACAAAGGGCTGCTAAAAAGAGCAAAGAGATCCAAATCCTGTATTTAAAGGCAGAAATATCCGTCAGTGACACTGCAAAGTATAAATGAAATATAAAGAGCTCATAAAAATGTTTTCATAGTTTACGCTTAAAAAAGGACAGTTTCAGGGCTTATATCTATCTATCTCAATTCTACTTAAAAATCCCTTGATCACCTTTTACTCATGCTGCCTCAATGCCCTAATTAATCAGTAGAATTAACTAGATTTGCAGCATCTCTCCACAGCTACCTGCTAATATTTTCCTCAAAGAAGGAAACCCACCACGGAACACGAATGCCTTGGGCAAAACGTACCCTCTTCTAGGCAGTTCCAGCAAATCCCCGCTCAGAGACCCCCAAAAAGGCCCCCGCCGCCTCGGGAAGGACCTACCTGCAGGACGCGCGGCCCCCCATGGTGCCCGGAGCCGGTGCAGCCGGTTGGGAAAGAGCCATTAAAGAGGAGGCGGCCGGAAGGCGAGGCCGGAGCGGAGCTTTGTGCGCGGCGGGAGCTGCCTCCACCGCCCAGCTGCGCAGCTCCGCATTGCAGGTACCGGCCCCGGCGCGTCGGCCCCGCACGCGCTCAGCGCTCCGCGGTTCCCTGCCTCACGCCTCCCTCTAACGACACCGGGGATCCAGCGGGACGCCCCGTGTCGTCCTCCTCGACGGGCAGGTTTGATTTGCCTATGCAGCAGTGCGCTGGATTCAAAGCGCGACGCGAGGTTCGCAGCCGCTGCCGACAGCCCGAGCCTTTTGATACAGGAATAGAGGCGCAATCGCACGGGAGGGGAAGGGTGTTCAAAGGGAAAAGGAGCTTTCTGAAGTAATTCCAAACCTCTCCACGCAGAGCTACAAGAGAAACTTAGCCTTTACACCCAAAAGTGAGAAAACAGTGAGAAAAGGGGTCAAATCTCCACCGGATCTTAAAAAGAAACAAACAAAACCCCTGGAATATTCCTCCTTGCAGCAGGCAGGCAATATCCTCCTCCAGGGATGTGCGAAAATCTCTAGCCGTTTCCTGTGCGTGTTTACCCGGCTGGTTTGCGCAAGTGATAAGGGAAACAGAGCAGCAACAAAGTGACATTCCCAAGTAATAATTTAAGAGATTTTCTTTTCCGCTGCTGAGAAAGGTTTGCAGGCGAAAGACGCTCTGAAGCTGTTCTGCAGTTTTCAAACAGGCTGAAAGAAATGGATTCTTAATATATTCAGCTCCATGTCTGCAATATTTTCATCTTAAAAATCTCACAGCATTAAGCCAAGGCATCCTTCCAATAGAGCTTAATAAGAGTTGCCAAACCTCTTCCTATTAGAGCTGCTAACAACATGCAAAGTTCTCTCCAACAGCCAGGGCTTTGCTCCACGTTCACCAAATGCACCACACCTTTATATTAATTCTAATATAAAGATTTCCTTCAATCACTCCTCCTCTACAAGGTGTTCAGAGAAAACCCCTTTACATTTTCCATCCAGTTTCCCATAGGATGCCTTATTTGGTCCAAGCAGGCACAATAAGGTAAAAAAGTACCACTAAGAAGCTTCAGCCACAGCGTGCTCGTTTTCCCCACGCCGACAGCTTACAGAAAACGCCTGACAATAAGTTTTCAGTTCTCCTATTTAAGGGCATGATGTATAAGTGACTTCTGGTATTTCCTGTACAAATCAGGAGTTTTGAGGCAGTGTTCTTCCCTTGTCCCCCAAGCCTTAGGGACATTACACAAGGCCACGTGTCTGTTTGCTCAGGAGAGATGCAAACACGGACCCCGTGTGCCCGCAAGCAGGGAGGGCAGCACGTTCAACCCCTGCTTGTCACATCCACCCCCCTTACTGATGCGCCACCTTTTTGGCATATGCCGTCCTCCTTATCCCTCTCTTTGCTACCTCAGTTTTCCATTTCCTTGATATTTGCAGACACGGATGCCACCTGAAGATAAGTGAGGATTGCTTTCCTTGATGATTTTTAAGTCTGCCACACCACCTTTATGAACACTGTCCCTCCTTACTTGGGAGGTCAAGTTACCCATGTAAGACTTTCATCCCCAGATTTCATTTCAGTGAACTTAAGACTAATCCAGGTCATATGGGAGATGACACAGATAAGAGCACTACAACACACTCTGCGAGGCTGCTTTCCACCATCCAGGCGGATTCTGACGACTGCGCACTCTCCGCAGCAAGATCTTGACTGTGTTTTATGAAATAAAATATACACACATCAAGCTCCATCTGGTACGGCAAGGGCCAGCACGGAATCCCTCCCTTGGCACATCTGTGCCGCGAGACGGCGGCTCTTCGGGAAGCGCGCCTGCCAGACGGCAGCTCATTGCTATTCCCGAGCGCGCCGCAATTCCGGGATCACGTTCAGGCACATGGAGGCTGAGGAACGGCTGCTTGTGCCGCCAGCCCCCGAGGTGCCTGCATGCAGGAGGCCTGGAGGCAAAGCCAGCACTCAGCAAATAACTGGGGAGATTCAAATCTGCAGGATGGATTCAGGGCTGAAACTGCAGCAGGACTTTCTCACCCGTGTGTGATTTGCCCTTGCTGCTACAGGAGTAATCGAGGAGAAAGGGGGGAGACTGGGGATATTGTAAAGCCTATTTGGTGGGGGAGTTTGGAATTTGCAATCAAGGTTATTTTGTGATTACATGCAAACCATTCACTCTCCCATCTCTATTTTTCTGAATAGGGAACTGGCATTTTCCTGCCAAGAAGGCAGATCTGCAAGACTTGCTGCTGAAGAGCAATTATTTGAGTGCTATAAACACACAGGAATAGCACTGTTGGGGACACAGAGCACTGCAGACAGTCTAACACTGAGTTTTGAAAGAACTGAATCGAGAGGCACCAACACATACTTTTGTTTAGCAGATCAGTGGGAGTTCAATTTGCAGATAAGTCATAATGAATTCCACATGAGAACAGTGCTAATGCACAAATAATAGAGGCAATTAAGGCTCTTGCTTCCAATCCCTACTCCCCCACACCAG